AACATCTTCCAAAACTCCTTTTGGATATGCATTAGAATGATTGGCTATTTGAATAATAACTCCATCATTTTTTTATAATACATAAAATACATGTTTATTATTAAAGTCCCATGAACAGGGCAAAAAAAGTATAAGTATTTGGGGGGAGACAACCCATTAACCCTTGCATGCAAACTTTATCATGAAGACTATGAAGCAAATTTGATGAGATTTAGTGATCGCTAGAAGACTCTCGTGAGAAAAGGCAAAGAAGCTTCCAATGAAGAAGAACCATCTCAAGAATCTCAACGCCTTCTTGAAGTTGAACCTGTATGCAAAGATTGCGATGAGAATGTCGCATATGGGGGGCAAAGGATAAATGTTATAGAACATGTTGCATGAAGCAAGGATGGCTATTATACGATTATTATTTATCTTTGTCTTATCTAAATTTGCTTGAAAAGAAAAAAAAAACAGTTATTGTTAATGTGGGTTTCTTAGTTGAAATCCTAATCATCGAAGGCTCAGGGAGAAAACTGAGTTTAGAAGGTAAGGCATGATTCAAACGAGGAGGTTCCATGGCACAAATGATAGAATAAGGATGTTTTGAAAAATGTAGCTACAATGGAGTTATTTAAGGGCAAGGTACCAGGAGATCTAACCATAAAACCCAAAAAGTTTTGACCTAGAGATTCACATGTTTGAAGAATGAAGATTGCTCGGTGATATAAAGAGTTGCTCCTTGTATAATGTGTACAAGTAACATGACGGCTTTCATCATTGTTGTCTCTCTTCGAGATCACACAAATGAATCCACAACGTCATAAGATTCACAAGAAACAAAGTTAAGATGCCACACGTCTAAAAGAAAAAAAGGGTACGTATTATGACTTACTCCGTAAGGCATGGTCTCTATGTAACTACATATCCTCAAGGGGAACAAATCATTTCTGATACCTAGTTAAAGGCAATTATGGAACCATGATTTTCTACGGTTAAAGCAAGACGATCGAAGTATGCCTACCTCCAAGGTTCACTCATGGACTCAATAGCCTTCATAGTGAAGCTGACTAAACAAATTTGGAATCAGTGGGTGAAGTCCGTCAACTTTGTTGAGATAGACCATTCTTATTCCATAAGATTCGGGAACCTAATCCTGCAAGGAATTAACAGGTCTGCTATAATCTTAGAGTCCTTACAATCTAAGGATTGGCGTGCATCATAAGTAATCACACTCCTTAGAGGATGCACTATCTACTTCCTAGATATCCTCATGGATTCTCTTGGTTTAATAGATTCTACTAGCCTAAGAGGTTATTTCCTTGGTTGGTGTACACATTTCTAGAGCTCATCTCTAGTAACACAATCTCTGCACACTTATTCTTTTGCCCACTACTTGAGTCTTAATATTGCTTACTAACTTGACCGTCAAAGCCTTTGACTGGCACACCCCCTGGGTCCTAAGCTTACTCATGGTTGTTTACTCTTTTATAGATAAACGGATTCAAGCATCTCAGTCACTCACGGTAGTGCACAAATTTGATTCCAACAATATGTATATTTAACTTACCACATCAATATTACATTAAAGGGTAAATCACATTTTATCCCCTCATGTTTAGGTGCAATTGTTACCTCATATAACATCTTTAAAACATTTCAATCTCATACAAAAACTTATATTTAATTGCAATTTCATACATCTGTTAGTCAAACCATCAATTTGATCATTAAGTGATGTTGTAGTAACCATGGGTCCCACCCTTTTGTTGATATGGTAGTCAATAATATGCCACGTACAAAATACAAAATAAATTTCAAAATAAATGTTAATCTCATAATAATGGGCCCCACCCCTACCCCTATACTCATCTTCAACCTTCTCCTCTTTCAATGCCACCCCCTATCACACCTTCATCTCCTTCCCTACTGTTGAGCCATCACCAAGCCACCCAGCCCTCTTGATCGTCTCATAGGAAAACAGAATCCAAGCTGAGAATGACTCCATAAACCAATTACATCCATGTGCATGCACTTCAATGCAAAAACGAACAAATCATAATCCTAAACTTTTTGAGCTCATATGTTGTTTTTGATCTCCAATACATTCAATTTCACCACAAAAAAAGCCAACTGTTCCTTTACGGGCAATTCGGACAAACATTAAACACTCAAGCATAGCAAACATTCAAAAACAGTAAATGGGTGTTCATAATTTCAATCAGGAACACCAAAAAACAAAGAAAATAATGAATTAAATTCAAAAAAAGGTTTGTACTTACGTATCCTTGATCTTGAAACAAGTCTCAGCCTATTACTTATTAGCAGCACCCAAATCCCCCTTGCAAGAACACCCCAAGTTAATTGCTGAACCCCAGATTGGCTTGTTTGTATCTCACTCCCCCACCATCTCTGCCAAGGTCTGCTCTAATTCCCCTTCTTTTTTTCTTCCCCTTCCTTAAATTCATAATCTATTTTAGTTTTTTTTTTAATTTTAATATTTATTGCAAGTAGGCAGATACATAAAGTAGCAAAAAACACAGTAAGTTTATCAAATTTTGCTATTTGGATAAATTTTTAAGAAGAAAAGAGGATCTAAAATGTAGCGTTTGGATCTTTGTGTCCTGCTCAGTTTTCTCCTCACCTTAGCCTTCTTCGACTTTTTCTTGCTCTTCTCCTTGCTATTATTTGGCTTCACATTCGGTCATGTTCTTCGTCATTGTAGTTGGCAACGGACGGCGGAGATGAATTAGGAAATTGTGTGTCTCCTTGAACATTGTCGTCTTCCGCGTAAGCCATCAGGTCGTGGACGAGTCAGACTCCATTTTCTTGTGAGTCAACCAAGAGGGCTGGGTGGGTTGATGACGACTTCGCGACAACAAGGAGAAGATGATGGTTTGGTTGCGGCTGGTGTTGGGGTTGGGGTTGGGGAGAGGGGTTGACGAAGGAGAATGGCTGAAGATAAGCATAGTGTAAGGGGTGGGGCCACCATTCTTGGATTAACATTTTGTTTGTCCTATGTGGCGGAAAGGGATCCTCTTCGGATCCCTTCCTCTTAATCCACCAAGTCTGAGGATCCAGGCCTTTGAAATTTGATCCAACAGCTATAAACAGGGGCCCACTTTAAAAGTTATAATAACTTTAGTCGTTGGATCAAATTTCAACGGCCCGGATCCCCGGACTTGGTGGATTAGAAGGAAGGGATCCGGAGATGATCCTTTTCCCTATGTGGCATATTGATTGCCATACAATGGGACCCGGAGTTCCCACACCATCACTAAACAGTCAAATTGATAGTTTGGCTAACATATGTATGAATTGCAATTAAGTATAAGTTTGTGTATGAGATTGAAATATTTTAAAGATGTTGTCTAAAGTTGCAATTGCATTCAAACCTGAAGAGATAAAATGTAATTTACTCGACATTAAAATATAGAACAAAAATATAATCTCTGACTTCATAATCTCATATCTCATGTTTTAAAAATTACAATGTCATACCTCATGTTACGAATTTGTTACAATCTCATACCTCTGTCAATTTTTCTGTCAATTTCTCTGTTAAATGCTGACGTGGCTTGAGACGGAGCCCACTCCCTAATCCAACTGGGTTAAATTTTTAATTAAATACTAAAAAATTTAAAAAAAAATTATTTAAACCAAAACCAGTCCCTCACCGCCATCCTCTCCTCCTCCATCTCCGCCACCAAGTTATCATCAACCTTCCCAAGTTAAAATATTAAAAAGGGGCACCTCCTTCTTCTCAAGCAAGCAGCCGCACATGTCAATTCCGTCAAGGACCTTCGTGAGCACCACCCCAAAAACCCTCGCCTACAATCTGAAACCGTTTGTAGGATTTGGGTATTTCAAGGACCTTCTCGAGGCTTGTGGCAGGTGAGGACAGGCAGAGGAAGAATATAAAATTCGACAATGGCAAGAAGAGGTAGAATTCGAGTTGGGATTTCAAACCTGAAAAACTGATTCCGTTCAAGAAAATCTGGGCAAAAATCCACATTTGAAATTCCCCAAATTGAAATGCATATTATTGCAATCAATGGTAAACCCCATTTAACCAAAAACCAATTTTTTTTTTTTCAAAATCAAAAACCAATTTCAAAGCTATCCTTTTGAAAGCAGAGAACTTTGGGAATTGAGATGCCTATAAAAATGCCCATGTCGCGGTGGAGCAACACATGTTCTAAGGTTGCTAGAGAAGAGAAGGAGCGTCATTGGGAGGGAGGTGGAGATGGGTTCTGGTTTTGGAGTGAAGGGAGGAAGGGTGAGGGGAGACGGGTGGGATAGGAAGAAGGTGAGGGTTTGTAGGGGTGGGTCCCACATTTTTTAAATAAAAATATTTAAATAATTGTATCTTTTATTTTTTAATATTTAATTAATTTTTTAATCCAATTGGATTAGGGAGTGGGCTCTGCATCAAGCAACATCAGCATTTAACAGAAAATTTGATAAAAAATTTGACGGAAGTATGACATTATAAAAAATTCGTAAGATAAGATATGATATTATAATTTTTAAAACATGAGATATTAGATTATGATTCGACCTATAATTAAAGTAGTTTTGTGTAATTTACCTAAAGAATATATATAATCTATAAAACCCACCAACTACCGCGTAAACCTCGTGGCAAGGTTTTAGTCATAATGTCGCCATCAGCCACAAAAGCCGACATCACGTCGACCCAAAGACAGCGCTCTGTGAAGCCCTATATGTTGTAACGCATGCACTGCCGAGAAACGAATAAGAAATTTACAACCACGTGGGCTATTAAACTAGTGACCATGACCACGTCCAAGTCTCGAGCCCCAGTTGTTTAATTTGCGCACGCGTTTCTCATGCCGTTTTTCCCTCTTGTGCGCGCCTGTCATTTTGTCAAAACACATACCCCAATATTTAATCAATCCACCTCTCTCCGTGCTTCTTAAATCTGCCCTGCCCAATCAAATATTTCAATATATGAACACCCCCTCCTTAGCTTCCTTCCTTATTCATTTCCTCTCTCTCTCTCTCTCTCTCAAAATATGACTACTTTGGAGTCCATGTGCAGTACCTTCTCCCTCGTCTTCTTCTCCTTCACATCCCTGTTTTCGTTGTTTTCGTTGCTGATATTCATCATTAGGCTTCGGCCGTGGTGCAACTGCCACGTCTGTCGAAGCTTTCTGACCTCGAGCTGGTTAGGAAGCTTCGACAATCTCTGCGACTGGTACACTCACCTTCTCAGAAAGTCGCCCACCGGAACCATCCACGTACACGTCCTCGGCAACATCATCACCGCCAATCCAGAAAACGTCGAGCACATAATCAAAACCAACTTCCATAACTACCCAAAAGGCAAGCTATTCACCACCATCCTTGGCGATCTTTTGGGCCGCGGAATCTTCAACGTCGACGGTGATGCGTGGCGGTTCCAGCGTAAGATGGCGAGTTTGGAGCTAGGCAGCGTCTCCGTCCGCTCCTACGCGCACGAGATCGTGAGTACTGAAATCCAATCCAGACTAATTCCGCTATTTGCCTCGGTTGCCGGTAGTGAAGGTGAAAACGGCGTCTTTGACTTGCAGGACCTGTTTCGACGGTTTTCTTTCGACAACATCTGCAAATTCTCTTTCGGATTGGACCCAGAATGTCTCCAGCTGTCCCTTCCGATATCCGACTTCGCGGTCGCCTTTGATTTGGCGTCAAAGCTCTCCGCGGAGCGGGCAATAACGTCTTCACCGATCGTGTGGAAGATAAAAAGATTTTTCAACCTGGGGTCGGAGAGGCAGCTGAAGGAGGCCGTTAAAATGGTGGACAACTTGGCCAAGAGCATGATCGAACAGCGTCGTGAAATGGGTACTTTTTTAACGCAGAAGGACCTTCTCTCTCGATTCATGGCCAACATTGACGACGATCAGTACCTCAGAGACATTGTCGTGAGCTTTTTGTTGGCGGGCCGTGACACCATCTCTTCCGGGTTGACCAGCTTGTTTTATTTATTGGCAAAGCACCCGGAAGTTAAGCGGGAGATCAGGGAGGAATTGGATCACGTTATGGGTCCGACCAGAGAGGGGCTTGCGACTGCGAGCTTTGATCAAATGCGGGAATTACACTACTTGCATGCGGTGCTTTATGAGACAATGAGGTTGTACCCGCCAGTACAATTCGATTCCAAGTTTTGTCAGGAGGATGATGTATTACCCGATGGTACTTTTGTCCGGAGCGGGACTAGAGTTACGTACCATCAGTACGCAATGGGCCGGATGGAGAGCATTTGGGGTTCGGATTGTCTCGATTTCAAGCCCGATAGGTGGATGAAGAAGGGGGCTTTTTCTCCCGAGAGTCCATACAAGTATCCAATTTTTCAGGGCGGGGAGAGGGTTTGTTTGGGGAAGGAATTAGCGGTGATGGAAATGAAATGTGTCGCGGTCGCACTTGTTAGGAAGTTTGATATTCAGGTTCTGGATCCTGAACGGAGACCGCAGTTTGTACCCGGCTTCACTGCCACCGTGAGCGGCGGCCTGCCGGTTCGGATTAAAGAAAGGGAAGGCTTGTGAGCAAATAAACATTTGAGAGGCTTTGGATACGGTCTCTAGTTATGAATATTTTTTATTAAAACCTTGTTGGTTTTCAATTTTTTATTGAAGTTCCTGAAATTAATGTGATAATTTATTTCTATTTTACTAATTTTTTAAATTAAAAATTAAAATTTATAGCTGTTTATATTAATGAGATTTTAAATAAAAAAATCATAATTTGTGGAATTTAAAATATTAAAATACAAATATACTATTGTGTGTGTATATAAACATGGGTACATTCATCAAAATTAACCAAAAAATTATTGTACCAAAACACGGCTACATTCTTCAAAATCACAAAAGGTATTAGGTTTAATAACATTAGTAAATTTCTTCAATTAAACTTAACATGGATACATTCTCAAATCAAAGAAAAAAGAACTTACCCATATACGTTTAAAAATGGATTAGAAAAAAAATTGAATAGATTATATATATATATATATATATATATATATATATATATATATATAAGAGTACATTTTACATATAACAAATTGGTATATATATTTAAGAATGAGTAAATTTTAAGATTAAAAAATTAAAAAATTGAAAACATTTTTTAAAAAGCTAATGGGTACAAACTTATTCTAATTTTTTTAATTTATTTTGAAAATGTTTTGAATTGAAAATTAGTTAGGAGTTTAATAAATGTGTCAATATTAAAATTCTAAATCAATTATTTTATTTTAAAAAATTATGTAACTGACGTGTAAATTTATTATTACATTAATGTTAGAAACTTTGATCAAAATCTGAAAACTAATAAGGTTTCAGTCAATGAACATTAGTAACTAGGGACCGAATACTAATTTTTCGTAAACATTTTGGTGCATGGTTTCATGAATGCATAAATACGTATAGGTCTAGTTTGCCTTTCAGCTGCTGGGGAACGTTAGAAGTGGTTGGCACTTGGGAGTAGAAGAAATGCTAACTTATTAGATTAACCCATAGCCATATGGTTAGATTCATGAGAAGAAGTCAGAAAATTGGTGTGTATGTGGTTTAATAGGTCAAAAGGAAAAGGGGTTAATTTGTGCTTCAAATTGTCATGGTTCTCCGTCACTGGGTCACTTTATCTTAATGTAAATTAGGCAAAATATCATTAGGTACTAGATATATAGTATAATGGTACAAGGAACATGCATGAACTATATAAGTGTATGCAGGGGCTAGCTATAGTATCCTAGCCTACCAATGTATTTCCATCTATGTAAACAATAGTCCAGTGTGCCTTTGTATATAAATGTTGTATGCAGTACAAGTTTTTCTTCTATACCTGTACCTTGGCCTGCAGAATGTAACTGTGGAGTACAGACTTGTACTGTACTATTACTATTTATATGTAGGATTTATGCTTTTGACACACATTGTTACACATATTTTATAGATTTTAAAATAGATTTTATTCTGTAATGTATTTCAGCGATCCAACCATCTATCTTTTGTCTTACCTCAAAGATTATATCTACCAAAAATCATCAAACTCGAAACCATATGACTGTTAGATTAAATTTAGTGTTTCTTTGTAAAACTGTATTCGTTTATTTTCTTCATTAAAAATGAATGTCTTAATGAGTTTGGATTTGTGTACTTTTTTGCAAAGATCTATAAATGATGTACTAAACTATAAACGGTTTGGATTGCTGAAATATATTACAAAGTAAGACCTAAAAAATGGATGTCAAATACGTGTCAAAACCGTGTCCCAAAATCCTAAACGATATAATATATATTATAATTTGGTGACCCATATGTCTACCGATTTGAGTAATAGTAACAATATGGTATATAACAATTTTGGTTGTAGAATCTTGAAGCTTAAAATATGTTAATAGTTGGTTAACTTGGTTCCATTTGTAAACAGTCTTGTAGCTCCATTGATTGAAAGGAAAACCTCTCAGCTGCTATCAATAATGCAACGAGAGCCATTCTTCTATACAATACTACTACAAAATTTTGTGATCATTTTATACCACAGTTATTGACTCATTATAGAAATAAAATAAAAAAACCGATATATCGCTACCAGAAATTAGGGCTTGGCTACAAAATCTTGTCTGACAAACAAAATTTCGGCAGGTCAAGGGACTTTACCCAATGAATTTTTTAATTGTTAGGGTAAAGCTGGTCACCATTTAAAATTTGCTCAAAACATTTGCACAACGGAAGAGAGTCGTAGAGCAAGGTGAAATTCGTCGATCAACGTTTTGGCGCCAAGAGGGAGAAAATGGCGCATATTTGTTGGCTAGATTAACTTTGCTCGACGGCCAGTTCGTCAGCCCAAGTGTTCTTGTCGTTGGGCAAAAACCCACAATAACGTGTAAAAAAAAAAAAGAAAAAACCATCGACAAAACCTTTGCTCGATGTTTTTCTTGTAGTTGCCTGATGAAATGGTTCGTCGGGCAGACCCATATCACCAAATAGGTCTGTGCCTTCTTCTTTCTCTTCTTTTCTTCCTTGTTTGAAGATATATCGAAGTGATGACTCAAGCAATGAAAGCGATATTGAAAAAGATAATAAGGAAGCAAATGAGTATACCAACAATGATTGAGAGTTCACTGATGTAATATTATTATGTACTAAACAAAATATTCTATTAATTTTATCTAAGTTCACATGCCGATTTATCTTATTGTTATAAAAAATAATTGAAGCCTTGCCCGACGGGATCCAAAAGATTCGTCGGGTAAAGGAGTCTTGCTTGACGGAATCTTAAACAATTCCGTCGGTTAAGTCTTAAGGGTTTAGGTTTAGGGTACATATTCGTAAGGCAAACTGTCCAGAATCCATTGGGTAAGTGTTTTGGCAAATTTTACATATTCAATTCTGTTGAGGCTTTTTGCAGTCGGGGAAATTAGTTTCCACAATCCAACCTTCAATATAGTTGGTATGTAATACGAGATTGTATATGTCAAAAATTACCAAAAATAAACATTCGGAGATTAGGGTAACAGAACGAAATCCTTCTACAATGAGAAGTGAAAAATCAATATATCATGAATGGATGCGATCATGAATTAAAAATATTTACAATACTGATTACCAAAAAATATACATTACACTTAATAGAACTATAGAAAAACTCTTAAGTGTTGGTTGAGTAAATTGCATTGTGGGGATACGCACTCTACGAAAATAATTTTCATGATCCAACCATTAAACTTGTTGGAATATAGTATGAGACTGCATAGTAGGGATCGAGACAAAAGGTTGGATGATTACAAACTTAGCATCATGATTAACAACTATATCACCATTGATTTGGGTGATTTTTTTCCAAAGATGCTAATTGAGGGTTAAAACCCACATTGAATATAGTTGACATGAAACTCGATGATCGTTTAAGGGTTGCGAATTTTTTTTCTAAGTTAGGAGATTTTTTAATTTTCAAGCTTTGCTAGACAAAAATCATGTATTTTGTAGGGCAAGTAGACAAAGTTCGTCGGGCAACATACAATTTTCGTCGGGCAAGGCTTACATTTTTCCCCAATTTTTTTTTTACCGAAACATTTGAATTCCACACCAAATTTTGGGTTTGGCCGACGAAGTTCTTGGGTTTTTGTCCGACAAACTGTATTTCCCACTAAATTTTGCGCCAAAATTTTCAATTGGCAACTTCTTTTCTGAAATCCATACCCAACAAAACGTTTCGTTAGGCAAATCTCGAAACAAACATGTGTTAAAAAATTAAGACCCTTGCCGACAAAATGGTTCGTCGGGCAAAGGCCTTTTGTTCTTTATCAGGCTAAGAGCTCTCCATTTACAACTTAAATTGTTTCATTCTGTCTCTTTCTCTCTCCAAAATTCCCTCATTAAAAACTTAGCTCCCTCATTAGCTCTCACAAAGGTATGACATTTGTTGTCAATCATTTCAAAGTTGTGATTCTGAATTTGTGATGATTATGTTGTGTGTTTGTGATTTATATTTTGAAAGCGTAATTTTTATTGTGCATTTGTGATTTGTATGTTTAAATTTTTACAAAATTTTGGGTTGGAAAAAATCGGGGACATTGGTGAGGGTTTAAGGTTTGGGAGGTGGGGAGATGATGTGAGGGGTTGAAAAAAGGGGGTACGGGCAGGATGGTGGGGTGGGAATGAATGGGTTTGGGGGGAGGGTGAGACGGACTAATACGAACTTTTAGACAATATTAATTATAATTTTTAGATCTATTATAAATTAGTAGGAAATATAATAATTTTTTTATATATTTAAAATTTTTAGACAATATAATAAATTTGTATGAAATATTAAAAATATTTAGAAAAGTTGGACTTTTTTAGAAATTGTTTGCAATTTTTTCAATAAATGCCTAGATCGCACAATAGCCACTGCATCAGTGATGACACAAGCGTCATAAGGGATGACTGAAGAATGAGGGTTGAATACAACTCAGAACATATGTGTGTGCAATTCTAAGTTCATGCAATATTGAAGCACTCGATGGGAGCCTCATCCGGGATAGGTGCCCCATGATTTTGAATAGAAGGAAAAATATCTTCCCCAAAGTGAAGCAGGTGCTGATGGCATAGCTCTCGATAAATGTAATTTAATATTTTTCATATTTTTAATTATTCTAGATAATTAGTTAATTGCTTATGTATTTTTATACGTCCAACATCGAAAACTTCACGAAATTAAATCTCCTTATAATGAAATGTTTTACTACTAGTTGCATCAAACCATTTTTCATAAAACTTCACACATTAATTCAGCATGCAATTACTTTATAAATAATATTAGCATGAATAGTAATGACTTATTGAACTGCCTTTAAAACTTTAGTGGAACCAACTTTATGTTGCAATTTGTATCTATTATATTTTAAGTAATATCAACATGAATTGCAATTTATTTGCAATTTATGGTATCATAGTAGGTTATTCCATGTGTGAAGTCCAGCGGCACACGTGTTTCATGTTCTTCGATTTGTGCTGTTTACGTGTTAGGCTTGAAAATTTTGCCATACATGATAGGGCGTGTTGAAAATGAATCTCACATATATAGGAGAAGAGACCTTACATGCACTTATAAATAATTAGGCTATTCTCCCATATTGTCATTTTGTTTTATGGATGAACCTCCATAAAGAAGGAGTTTA